TTGCCTGTCTCAGACATGATCAGTCAGAGGTCAGCAGGGGCCCGCCCTGGCTCAGGACCCCAACTTGGCACTGGCAGGGGGACCCTTCGCCTCCGTTCTCGGGGTCCAGCTACAGTGGAGGAGCTGGTAAGTGGCTGTGCTGCTGGCCCCATGTTCCCTTTCCCCTGCCTTGTGTTGCCTGGCTCACCCCCTACCCTGCTTTGCTGTGCCTTGTATATGTGGATTCTATACATAGTAAGTGATTAATGCAGATCGAGAGTTGAATTGAATTGTTTTCTCTCCCCCCCTCCCCCCCCCAGCCTTCAGCATTCGAGGAGAAGGCCATTGAGAAGGTGGATGACCTGCTAGAGAGTTACATGGGCATCCGGGACACCGAGCTGGGTGAGGTTCTTTGGACAGGGATGTGGGGCTTGGAGGTGAGGGGACCTGGGCTGGGTGCTTACAGGGGTTCGGGCAGGAGTTAGGAGTGGGGGGTTCGGGCTATTGACCCCGCTCTTTCCTTTGAGCAGCAGCCACCATGGTAGAGCTGGGCAGGGACAAGCGGAACCCGGATGAGTTGGCGGAGGCTTTAGACGAACGGCTAGGTGACTTTGCCTTCCCTGACGAGTTTGTCTTCGATGTGTGGGGAGCGATCGGAGATGCCAAAGTTGGGCGCTACTAGGACTCAGATTGGACTGACTCCAAGGAAATGTGGGACAGAGTTAACATGAGCCAGGGCCTTGGGGCCTTGGGAGCAAAAAGTCTGGGAGACCAGACACCTGGGGCCCATCCCAGCATCATCATTGCTGTTTAGGGGAGAGAGCACTGAAGAGGTCTTTGTCTGGGGGCTCAGAGAGAGAGGGAGGAGGGGTCAGAGAGAAGAACTGAGCCAAGGATCCGGGCCCCCAGGCCTTTACCACTATTACCACCACTGGAATCCAACATTCCCCACACAGCCAGAGTAGGAGGGAGAAGGCCTGACCCTCAGTGCTCTCCATCCAATCGGTACAGCCCTTCCCTCCTCAGCTTGGCTGGGGTCCCCAGGGAGCCCCCCTCCTCCCCTTCCCACCTACCTCAGTGTCTAGATTGGGGGAGGGAGAGCTGGTAAGCCTCCCCCTTCTTCCCGCCTCACTTTTCCACATCAGCGGCCAAACTGGCCCCACTCCCCACCCTGGGGCGCCCAGCTTTGTTTCAGGGGGAGGCTGTGACCTCTACCGGTTTCCCTGAAGCAGGGGAGGGGAGTGGCAACCAAGCAGCCACTTTTCCCCCACTTTCCCCTGATCTCACTCCAGCAACTGCAATAAGGTCACCATCACCACTATGAGACTCCCCAGACCTGTTACCTCTGTATTTGAACTTGACTGCTGTGAACCCATCCCCTGTCCTAGGACTGACTTCCCTTAGGTGTCCCCATGGATCCCCAACTGCCCTCACTGACTTTGAGGGGATGGGGCAGGCCATGATTGGGGGGTTTTATATTTGAGTTGTCTTTAACATAAAGAGATCTCTTGAGTGGTGCTGAGCTGTGTGGCCTAAGGGGTGGGGGGCTGAGCATGATCTGGGAAAGAATGTGTAGACTGAAATCCATCCCCTCTGTGCCCCAAATTGAATTAGGAGACCTTGGCCCAGTCTCCCCTGCCTCTTCCCGCCCACTGTTCTGCCTGATTAGCGCTCAGGCCCTCCCTCCAGGCTTCTCAGCAAGGGAAGTTTCAGCTGTCCTGAAAGTCTGCATACTTGAGCCCAGGTCCTGGACTGTGCCATTAATTTGATGGGTGACCTTGCCCTCTCTGGGCCTTCTTTTCCTCCTGTGTAAGTTGAAGAGGTTGTGTTTCACTGGTCTCTGAGGTCCCTTTACCTTTGAAGTTCTTTCTGTTGGCTTCGCACCTCCTGAAGAGGCAGGGCCTCTTCACTCTCACCCTCGCCCCTCCGGCCTGTCTGGGGCCTTGTATCTCTAGAAACCAGCCACATAACAAGGGCCTTGTCCCATCAGAAATAACACATTTTTATGTTTTGCAATTTAGAAAGCATTCTCCAAAACAACCCTAAGAAGGAGTTATGCAAGGATCACTTTCCGATTTTATAGTTGAGGAAACTGAACCCCACGTGGGAACTGTTGATTCAGATTTAACATTCTTAGTGGGAACATCAAAGTCCTCAAGTGTGACCCCAAAAATGAAACAATGGCATAGGCTAGATGGGATCGGGAGGAGCGGAAGTGCCTTCCTCTGCTCCCTGCCTGCCTGGGGAGGGGCTCTGGGCAAGTGCCAGCTTCAGCATATACTTGATGAGTGACTAAGCAGGCCACTTCCACTGCTCAGCCTCAGTTTCCTCTTCTCTAAATTGACACGGTTGGACTGGTTCTTGTCCCTTCCAGATCCCAAATCCTGGGAGTCCCAGCTCTAGTCAAGTAGTGTCCTGTCTCTGGGCCTCAGTTTCTTCCTTGGGCCAGACACATCCTAAGGGTAATCTCACCAGCCTTTGAGAGCACAAGTCAGCAAGAGATGATGACTGGACCCTGATGAACAGACCTGCTGGCAGCCAGAACCTTTCCCTCCCCACCCTGAGCCTGGACCCCTCAGGCCTTGGGCCAAGCTGATGGAGGAAGATGCAGGGAGACTGACATAAACCCGACACCATTGTTTTGACAGTCAGCTCTTCATCTCTGGGAAGGGGAAGGGAGGGCCTTAGGGAAATGGGTGCAGTTGCTTGGTGGGGGGAGAAATTAGGAAAGCCAGCTTCAATCCCAGCGTTCTGATAGGAACATTAAAGTGGAGAAGTTGGATCAGAGAGGTGAGGGGAGGAGTAGAGAACTAGCTGGGCAGATGGGGATCCTTTCATAGATTCCCCAATGGGGTGTGAAGGGGGGGTGGTTCCAGGTCTGGGATGTCGCCCATTTTGTGTGTCTGGACGATTCAGTCTTGTTGTATACATCTTTTTCAAGTCTAGGGTTCCTGCTATCTCTGGGTATAAGGGGGGAAGGAGTATATGAGTCTTAGGGGTCTAGAACTGCAGAGTTCAAAATGGGTCCCAAGAGAGGAGGCTTTAAGAGGGAGGAGGGAGAGAAAAAGTTACTGGGGAGGCAGGACTCCTGGGTCCCCTCCTCAACCCTCCCCTTGTCCTCATCCCAGCTCCAGCCTCCTCAGGGATTACATGTTCTTTGGGAACCGCCTCCAGCCTAAGCCTGACATAAATAAAAGAATGGGGGGGGGCCTCCAGCCCATCCATTCCTCCCCCCCACCCTGCTGAACCCCACCCCCCACCCAAGGGAAGAACATTACCTCCCTCCTCTCAACTCATTTCAGGGTTTATGCCTCCCAAGCTGCGTGCCCTCTCCATCCCTGGCATCAATGAGTGATGCCTGGTGCCTTTGTCCCTGAACAGTTCAGCAACTAGTACCCCCCAGCAAAGCCCTGTTCACGAGCCAATATTTCTGTGGAGTCCCTGTCCATCCATGAATTGCCTGGAGCAGGACAGAGGTTAGCACCATGTGTAGGGGGACCCTGGATTTGGGGTGAGGAGAAGATTTTGAACCATTAGCCATTCTTTGTGACCCTGGGAGATTCACCTAACTTCTTGGACCTTAATTTTCCTGTTGAAAATGAGAGGTTTGGACTACATCACCTCTGAAATCGTTCCAAGCTCTCAAGCCCTTGGGTTCACTGGGAAGTTGGGGATCAAGTGGTACAAGCAACTGGGAAAGGGTCCTCTCACCTGAGGTGCCCTGCTGCCTGGAGCCCCAGAGGGAGGGCTGCAGTGGGGAGAGAAGGGAATGTGTATCTGAGACACTCACATTTTCCAGTGTTTGGATTTTCTCGGCATTATTATTGTTATTAATGAGAAAAGTATGAGGGCCCCATGCCTGAGAATGGGGGGTAAGGAACTAGAAAGGATGGGGGTGGGGGATGGCTCAATTTCCTCTCAATTGGGGAAGGATTGGGTTATGATCTTCAAGAACCCTGCCAGCTCAAAACCCAGCAATTCTATGAAGCTCTCTAGGCTTCTTTGTAGGTCTAGTGGAGGGGAGATGATGGGGACAGGTCAGACCCCCATAGCCTAAAAAAAACATGGATGGCAGGAGGGGATGCCTTGTAGCAAGGTGCAGTGAGAAAAGGCCTGGCATTGGTTGGGGACAGTTCAAATCCTGCCTCTGACATTACCTTTGTGTCCATAGGCAAATCCACCCCCTTTGAACCTCCATTTCCTCACCTGCAAAGCAAGAATAATAATCTTTGCATTGCCTGCCTCACAGGGTTGTTGTGGGGAAAGCATTCGGTAAATTTAAATGTGCTGTGGACATGGAGTCATAATTGTTAATCTCTTGACCCCCTGGTCACAGAGTGACCAGTGGGACCAGGTAGTAGGGTATATCCTTTTTCTGGGTTCTTCTCACTGGATAAGCTGAGTTGGACCCAAACCTAGCATCTACTGTTCGGGGAGAGGGCTCCCTCGGGAGCCCCTCTGGGGCCACAGACTGTCAGAGAAGGAGGGCTGCCAAGTAGGTGGCCCTGGCGGCACTAGGCCTGGGAGGATGGGGCTGCTGCAGTGCCAACAGCGTCCCTGGGTTCTCCCTACCCCTGTTTCCGCCAGGGCCCCACCCTACAGCTACCTAGAAACTGGGTGCCTCCCTCTTGTGGACCCTGGCTCCCAGGAAGAAAGCTGGGTGGTCTGTATTAAATAAAGAAGGGGAGGGGGTATCTCCTTGCTAATAGTATCAGTGCTTGGAGATGCTAATAGGCAGTCCTCCCCTCTCGACCTCATGCAGGTTAGGGGGGAGGGATGAGGGGTGATAGGGGGTTAGGGTGGCGCAGGAGGAGCGGCTCTGGGTTGCTGGAGGCGGGATGGGGGCGGGAGGGAGCAAAGGAGCCGCCCCCCTGAGCTCAGTGAGCCGGGGCCCTGGAGAGCTACTGGCCTTGGGGAGAGTGCAGCTGGGCGCTGAGGCTGAGAAGGAGTGCTGCTGCGGAGCCAAGCCTGGAGGGATGGGTCCCCGGGGCCCAGGGCCACAAGAGGAGCATCAGGTAAAAGAGGCCAGAATGGGCTGGTCCCAGGAGCCTGGGCTCCCCAGCTCATCCTACTTGGGAGATACGGGAGCAGTGCCTTGAGGGGCTCAGGGTGGGGCTGCCTGGGAAAGAGTGCAGAGCAGGGAGAACCCCTTCTATTCCCTCTCATGTGTCTACCCCCAACCCAATGTGTCATCTACCTCTATCCCCCACCTCTGTTTCTCCACCCTATCTGTCCTTCCTAACCTCTACATCCCCTAACTTGTGTCTTGATCCTCCTCTATAACCCCACCCCGTCAACTCTTATTCCCTATCTTGGCACCTTCTTGTTTGTCCCACAAACCTTTCTGATTGGGCCGTCCATCCGTCCTTGTCTGCTCATATCTTATTCTTCCCCCTCTATTTCAGTCTTACCACTCAGCTTCATCTGTCCCCCCCCAGTCTTTCCCATTCCGTCTCTGTACCTACCATCTGCTTCTTTTGTATGTCTCTCTGAACCTGCTCCCTCTACCCTTTCCTCCCAGTCCTTCTTGGAATACCTGGAGTCAGATTCAGGCCAAAGGTCACTCCCTATGCCACCCTGCCAGGGGATGAGGCAAACCTGCCACAGTCTTTGGTGTTCAAGGGCCCTGAATATGCATAGAGGTGGTGGGAAGAATGGATAATGTAATTGGGTGGGGCTTGGGACTAGGTGGGAGGTAGTGTGGAGAGATGAAGACGAAGGAGATAGGAAAAGTTGGGGGGGAGTACTATGCAAGAAGGGATGGAGAATTGGGGGGATACAGGGATGATGGAGTATGGGGGGATGAAGAATAAGACATTGGATGGGGACAGCAAAGGGCTATTTGCTGTCATCCTCCCTTTCCCTCTCCTTTTTTCTCCTCTTGCTCAGACATCCACTGCCACCTGACATGTCCCCTTGCCCGTTGTACAACCTCAGCTGGCAAGGGGAGAACTCAACATGCCTAGAGACCAACAGCTCAGAAGTCCACCCAGCCTCATCCCCAGCGATGCCCATTTTCTCCATGACACTGGGCGCTGTTTCTAATATCCTGGCTTTGGTCATTCTTGCCCGGGCCTTTATCAGATTCCGCCGTCGCCGTACTCGGGCCCCCTTCCTGCTCTTTGCCACAGTTTTAGTGGCCACAGACTTTGTTGGCCATGTGATCCCAGGGGCCCTGGTCCTGCGGCTCTATGCCACAGATCTGGCTCCTGCTGGCCCTGCCTGCCAATTCATGGGGGCCTGTATGGTCTTTTTTGGCCTGTGCCCACTGTTGCTGGGCTGTGGGATGGCAGTTGAGCGTTGCATAGGAGTGACCCAACCCCTGCTCCATGCCAGTCTGGTCTCAGCTGCCCGGGCCCGCCTGACACTTGGGATACTTTGGGGCATTGCCTTAGGCATTGCTCTCCTGCCCCTGCTGCATGTGGGGCGCTATGAGCTGCAGTATCCAGGAACTTGGTGCTTCATAGGACTGGCCCAGCCAAGGGGCTGGGGTGAGGCCATCCTGGCAATGCTCTTCTCTGGTCTTGGTCTGGCCTCTCTACTGACTGCCCTGGTGTGCAACATGCTCAGCGGACTATCACTAGTCCGAGCACGTTGGCGGCGGCGCCAGGGGAGCAGCCGCAGGGTGGCCCGTGGTGGAGGTGGTGGCTCCGTGTCCTCTTCAGCATCATCTTCCTTGTCCTCTTATTCCTCCCCTGTCCCACGCCGAGCTCGGGCCTATGACGTGGAGATGGTTGGCCAGCTGGTGGGCATCATGGTGGTATCCTGCATCTGCTGGAGCCCTTTACTGGTGAGTGGATGCATCCCTGGGCAGACTTCCCTTTGTGGGCATCTCCTGATAGATACCCCCAAATAGTTTTCCTTGGGGCAAGTGGATGTCTCTGAGTGGATATACTCCTCCAAGAAATCCTTAGAGGAAGGATTAGAGTCCAGAGAAACCCTTGGACACTTACTCCTGTGATCCCAACAGTTCTATTGGCCCATAAGTCAACATCCTCTGTAATTTCATCCCATTCTGCTTTCTAGATCACTGCTCCAAATGCCATCCACAAGAGATTCCTGGGCCTCTCACCCCTAGGGATATCCCAAGTCTTGATTCCCCATCTTTCAGAATCCCAAACCTAGGTTTTTCTCTTCCCAGCCCCAGGCTCCTTTCCCCCAGTTTGGACACAGTCTCCTCACTGGGCTTGTTTCTCTGTGCCCCTGCCCACCTGATTCTAGGCTCCCTAAAGGATCATGGGATAGAAGTCATCTAAACTCACTGAGTCTTAATTTCCTTATCTGCAAAAGGGGAACACACTGTCTTATAAGGTGGTTGTAAAGACACTCAGTAACCCTTTGGATCACAAGAGAAATAGGAAGGTTATAATTTCCCCCTTCCTCCTTATCTGTCCCTTTCCTTCTTGCCCCTTCCTTCCTCCCCAGGTGTTGGTGGTGCTTGCTGTGGGAGGCTGGAGCTTAGACTCCTTAGAGCACCTGCTCTTCCTAGCAGTTCGTTTGGCCTCCTGGAATCAGATCTTGGACCCCTGGGTCTACATCCTGCTGCGTCAAGCTGTGCTGCGCCAGCTACTACGCCTCTTCCCGCCCTGGCATGAGGCCAAGGGTCTGCCCAGGGGAGCCTGGGATGCTAGCTCCTTGCGCACCTCTCAGCACAGCACCATTGGCCGCATCTAGTTGTCTTCTGTATGGGCCAAGGTCATTGGCCAGGCTGGATTGTGCAAGGCAAGACTGAGAAAGATAGAGCTGTGGATACCGGAGGTTTCAACCAAGGGAAGGCCTGAAGGAGGTGGAGAGACGGGGTGGGGTGGGGGGAACAGGGAACCTTGAAGAGTGTTCAGCTATTAAACTGCCCAGATGTGAGGAGGGAGATATAGGAAGAGGACAAGAGAACAGCAAACAAGAGCCCTGGGGGAATAACTCCAACTTTGGCCTCGGGCTGACCTGGGGCTTTCGGGGCACTGGCCAGGAGGGAGATGGGGTAGGGGTAGTCCGCAGGGCGGAGCCCAAGGGAAATAAAGATATTTTGCATATTCCATGAGTGTGCCTGCCACTAATCGGATGATGACATTCTCCTCCCAGCCGTCAGTGAACTAAGGGCATGGACATCAATGGTTCCTTCCAGCCTTTGACACTCACTATGTGGCTCGCCCAGTTCAGAGCCCAGGCGGGCATAACACGGGAAAAGGCAAGGGAGGGGCGGAGCAGGGAAGCCGCAGTGACGGCTTCGGCCACAAGGTGGTGACAGAGGCACCCTCAGGGGCGCCACGAGGGGCCTGTTTTCCCAGCTGGGGCCAGATGAGGGCAGCAGGCACATGATCCGACAGAGGCTACAATATGATTCGGGGGCCGTGTCTCCCATTTCTATAACTCCCTTCCTACTCTCACCCCCGCCACCGCCCCCCCTCCCCTTCGTCCCAGCACTGGGTGGACCGCAACCTCCGGGAACCCGGCCCAGGATCTAAATCCAACTAGGAGGGGTGGGGCGTACAACGGCGAGCTGGAGGCCAAGTCCCAACCACAGACCGAGAAGGGGGAAGGGAAAAAAAAGAGGGTGAAGAGACGGGAAGAGCAGCCACGGCCGATCTGGAGCATGCGCACAACTCTGCTGGCCCGCCCCTCACAGCTCTTCCCAGCCTGCTTCGCGGCAGAGCTGTGTCCAAGGCAGAAAGGGAAAAAAAAGAAAGGCGTCTGCCCTCCTTTCCGTTAGCCTCGGCTCGCAGCCTAGCCCTGGCTCCCAGCTTACTCCTTTCCTTCCTGAAAACCCCGCCTCCCCTCACAGTCCTCTCCAGGTCACCTCTTAGAACGAGGCTGAAATGCCACTTCCTACATGAGACCTTTCCTGATCTCCCTACCTGCTAGTGCCTTTCCTCAAATTACTTTTTGTTTATTTTGTACCATCAGACAGCCATATAAAGTGGATTGATATCAGAATAAACCACATTTAGCCCCCCGGAGGGTGACTACTACTTTATACAGTTTCTGGGGGTCCTTTATGGGTCTGCACAGCCCCCATTGGTGTGCTTCCCATGAACAGTCAGCCAGCAGACACCGTAGTTCAAAGCAAAGTCATTAACTAAGAGGATATAATTAAGAACAGCAGTACAAAACATCCCCCCAAAAAAAACCCCTTTGGGTTCATTCTCCACAAATATACCAAAAAAGAAAAAATCTATGGGAAAATTTGGCACAGGATATCATAGTAATGAGGCAGTGAACATAGTTAGCCAGGGCAGCTTATGCCTCTAATATTGCAAAGCCTCGATGTCCTTTTTCTCTTCACGTTTTCTCCACAGCCCGATTCTTGATTGGCAGGGTTGCTTCAACTTTGAACTCATTGTGGGCTCCTCTCTATTGCCTTCTGGGCAGCCTCCTCAAAACTGCTTTCTCCCTCCAGTCACTGCCTTTCTATGTCTTTGTCTGACTGGAACGTGTCCCTCAACTCCCTCCACTGTTCCTTGAACTTTTAAAATAAACTCCCAAACTGATGGATGGGGTGTTTTCTCCTAAGTAGCTCCATTACTAAGCAGAATGTCAGATGGGGGAAGGGAAAGAGAGAAAAATTTCCTCTTCCTCATAGTTTGCTGCCCTCTGGTGTAGATAAAGGGGACACTACACAAAGTTGCTCCTGACCCGAAATTTTTCTTGAATTCTCCACTGGCTGCTTCCAGGGACTGGCGGGGTTAGCTATTTAAAGGTCTCCAGGGACATAACCAGTTTCCAGCCAGTCCTAAACATCTCTTCCAATTCAATCACAGAAATATTTCTGCACTTTGTAAGGAGAGACAGAGAGTAGATGCATCTTCACTAATATATTAATACCTCATTTCCTCTGCAATCTGCCGTTTGCTTTCTGTGCCTACATCAACTGGGGGATGGGGAAACCAATTGGTCGTGGATATGCTATCTCCTATCCTAATGTCAATTACCTTTCACACATACATGATATCTCCCCTATGAATTTAAGCTCTGGGGTTTTGTTATATTTGTCTATGTAGCTTCCAGAGTCTACACAGTATTTAGCACGTAGTGGGCTCTTAGCACATAGTAGGCTCTTGAATTCTAGTTGATCACCTGATTCACAGCCTCTCTCCTCACAGCTTTCTCCTCTCACAATGAATTAATGAAAACAAGACACATTGATAAGCACTCACCGTGTGCCAATTACTGTACTAAATACTGGGTTTATAAAGATGAAAATAACATAGTCCCAGTGAGCTGACAGGTCCTTCTGAAAAGCAGTTCCCAGAGCAAGAGGTGAAAAGGATAGAGTAAAGAGTCGGCAAGTTAGGAAATCTAGGCTGAAAGAACACAGGTGGGATGTGGGACCTCTCATTTCATAGCCCCTCCCTTCCCAGACTCTTTTTTTCTTTTTATTAATTTATTTTATCAACAATCACTTCCATAAACTTGTTTTAAATTTTTCTCCTCCTCCCTCTCCACCTCCCTCCTCAAGATGGCGTGCAATCTGATATAGGCTATACATATACATTCCTATTAAACATATTTTCACATTAGTGATGTTGTAAGGAAGAATTAGAACCAATAGAAGGAACCACAAGAAAGAGAAAACAAAACCAGACAGAAGAAAAAAATAGCAAATAGTATGCTTCGATCTGCGTTCAAACTTCGTAGTTCTTTCTTTGGATGTGGATAGCATTTTCCATCAAGAGACCTTTGCCTTCCCTGACGCTTTCCCCCTCTCATCCCTTCCACTTACTGACCCCTTCCCTCACAGCTCCTCCCTTCCCAGACTCCTTCCCTTCTGAGCCTGCAGCTAAACAAACCTCTCCTTCATATTCCTCCCTCTTTTCACAGCTCTATTCCCTCATTCAATTCAATTCAACAAACGTGTACTGAGTGCTTTTGTGTCTGACTCTCAGTGAGCTTGTGGGCAATACCACACCAATGCTGTACATGGGGTGTTCTTGGCAAAGATGCTGCAGTGGTTTGCCATTTCCTTCTCCAGTAGATTAAGGTAAAAAGAGGTTAAGTGATTTGCTCAGGGTCACGAAGCTAGTAAGTGTTTGAGCCCAAATTTGAACTCAGGTCTTCCTGACTCCTGGCCCATCATTCTAACCAGTGAACGACCCAGCTGTGTCTCATTAAATGCTGGGTTCTAGTGATATAAAAACAAACACAGTCCCTGCCCTCAAGGAGCTTACATTCTACTCCACGACAGCTAGGTGACTCAGCAGAAACCCTCTAGCCTCAGCCACTTAGCTGTGAAGACCCCACCTAACCTCTGTTTACCTCAATCTGTAAAATGGAGATAATAAAAGCATCTATCTTTCAGAGTCCTAAGGATTAAAAAATGAGATTTTTTGAAGTACTTTGCAAAGCTTAACACACTATGTAAGTGCTGGCCGTTAATATTTTTATTTTGAGGAGATTCATGAGAAATACAAAGTAATTAGTAGAGAGGAAAAACACTAACATGCGGAAGAAGGGAGGAGATCTGAGAAGGCCTGGTGTGGGAGGGAGATGGTCCCTGAGCCCAGCTTGGAAGGAAGCCCCTGGACATCCTCTGAGTACATTCCCATGATGAAGCGCCTGAGGAAGAATGAAGATGGAATGTCCCGTACAAACACCAGTTCAGGGGCCAGGATAACTGTAAGAGAAAGTGCACAAAGGGTAGTGATATGAAACAACCCCAGGGGCTCCCGTTGCCGCCAGAAGCAAATACAAAATGCTCCAGTGGGTGTTCACAGCCCTTCAGCACCCAGCCCCCTCCTGCCTTTCCAGTCTTCTTACCCCTTCCCCCCCAACAGGTGCTCTTTGATCCAGTGACTCTGGCCTCCTGGCTGTTCCATGGAGCAGATGCCCTGGGCATTTTCTCTGCCTAGAATATTCTGCCTCCTCCACTCCTACTACTGACCAGCCTGGCTTCCTTTAAGTCTCAGCTGAAATTCCACCTTGACCAGGAAGCCTCACTTAGCCTTCTTCATTCCAGTATTTCCCCCTTTTTGATTGTTTTTTTTAATCTAGCCTGTATGTAGCTTGTTTTGTATATGTTTGTTTTCATGTTGTTTCCCCTGTTAGATTGTAAGCTCTTTGAGGGAAGGGAACTTTTGCCTATTTTTGTATCCTCAGCGCTTAGCCCAGTGCCTGCCACATAGTAGGTGCTTAATAAATGTTTATCGACGTGAAAGGCAGATGGGAGCCCCTTTAAGAAGGGTTTCCAGGGCTAGGCTGAGGATTTTGTAGGTTATCCTAGAGACAACAGAGAGATCCTGTAGATGTTTAAATAAGGGGTGGACGACATGGTCAGAGCAGTATTTGGGAATATCAATTTGGCAGCTAGAGGGCGGACAGATGGGAGAGGGGAGAGGCTGGAAATGGGAAGTCCAGTTTGGAGACCAGAGGTCCCAGTGCTGAGGCCCGAAACGAGGGTCACTTACATATCTTCTAATTTCCCAAAACTCCTGAGCTGGGGAAGGAAAGGGCCAAGCACTCCAGGATTTTTGCCAAGAAAACCCCAAATGGGGTCATGAATAGTCAGACAAGACCAAAACACTGAACAGCAACTACTCATACAGTGGCCCCTCCCTCCTTTTCCCATCCTCTCTCCAAATAGACCCTCTTAACCCTCTCTTGCCCAGCCCCTTCACACATCCAGTTCTCTTACCAGAATCTCCCTTCTTTACACCATTGAATTTAAGGACTTTAAGACTTACAATCAACAATCCCAGAGTTGGAAGGGGCCTTGGAAACCCACCCATACTTAAACTATAGTCACCTTCCTGAGACCAAGGGGGTTTGCTGGGAGAGAAATGAAATTTAATAGAAATCAGTGTAAAGCCTCCTAGTCAAACAGACATCAATTTGGGGTGTTCTCTTCAATGATGTCTTTGGTTTAAAAAACAGAATCAACAATATCAAAAGCATTGGATGTGGAATCTGTGACCCTGAGCTAGGATCCTGGCTCTGTGTGATCCAGGGCAAATGTCTTAACTTCTCTGGACCTCTATTTCCACATCAGAAAATAAGGGGGTTGTACTGAGTGA